GGCGGCACAGGCGGCGGCCGCGGAGGGAGGCAGACCTACCCATGCGGACGTGCACGCTGGCGGAGGCCACAGAGCTGCCGTAGTTGAAGTCATCCTCGATGGAGGAGCAGGGATAACGGGGGTCGGGACTGGCCATGTCGGCGGCAGAACCCCTGCGAGCCCAGACACAACAGCAACCACAACGGCCGACGGCCACTTCCGCGATGACGCGCCCGCCCCGACAAGCCGAGCCCCGAGTAGTCGATCACTGCGCAGGCGCATACGTAGCCGCGTGGAGGGCCGGGTGGCCAGCCTGATCCTGGTCCTCCAGGCAGCACGTCTGCTCTCTCCGGGCTCGGCAGGCTCTCTGCAGTCCGGCGTCCACTCCCCACGCTCGGCGTCCTGCCGGACATAGCTGCGCACTAGTGAACTCCGGTTTTAGGGAGGCTTAAGTCGCCTTTCACCGGTTTTACAGTCACTCAGCAAATGGAGTTTGTGTCAGAGGATGCAGAGGCTGCAAACGACAAGATTCCTGTCTTGAAAAGTGATCAGAGGTTGGAGGGGCTGGAGGAAATCCCGACCTGCTGACCCAAGTCAGAGCCCGTAGAACGTGGGTGTGAAGTAACCCGGGAAACCAGAGACCAATAGAAAGAGACTATCAGTGACCAATAGGAAAGGGCAGTGCCGCCTGGAGGCGAAGGGAGCCAATAAGAAACTCGCAGACGATTTCAAACCGAGTATTTACAACCTGTGTCTCCTCAGTGAAAGGGATTCGCTTCCAGCTCGCTTTGGAAGTGCTCAAGACTTTCCCTTCGTTCTTCCTAAATAAAATTTCTCTTTGCTTTCTACCCACACCGCCTGTGCCACTCCTGTCTCATTTTCAGTTTCCACTCGCTTTTGGTTACCGCAGGCCTCAGTTGAACTTTCTAGCTCGGCCGAGTAATGGAACCAGCTCAACTTGGTTTGGGGAACTGGGACCCCCACGCCCAACAAAAGGGAAATTTGTCCCATATAATTATGAATCCACAAGCAGGACAGACTTCAGGCATAGAGGAATGATCAGCTACTGGTGTTATCAAAAACTTGATTCTTCCTCTCCCTAAACCATTCCCAGAGCCTGTTTCATTTTAATAATATTGATTTCCACTTCTTCGTAAAATGGTTCTTAGAGATGGCCAGAGCTGCTACATTTTTTTAAAGACAAAGTCTCACTCTGTCGCCCTGGGTAGAGTGCTGCGGCATCATAACTCACAGCAACCTCAAACTCCTGGGCTCAAGTGATCCCCCTGCCTCAACCTCCCAAGTAGCTGGGACTACAGGTGCCTGCCATGATACCTGGCTAGCTTTTAATTTTAGGAGAGATGGGTCTCCCTCTTGCTCAGGCTGGTCTCCAACTCCTGAGCTCAAGGGATCCTCCTGCCACAACCTCCCAGAGTGTTGGGATTACAGGCGTGAGCTACTGCACTCAGCCCCTATTCAGTTATTAAGAGAGAGATCTGAATGAGATATGATTCTCCCGAGTGACATCGCAGCCCAAATCTGAGCATGGACCACTGAAGTGTTGAATATGGAGGTCAGAGTAGACCTTAGCCATGTAGAAGGGAAGAGCAGGTGTGAAGCCTCCACTACAAAGCTGTTCCTGCTGTGTTCAAGCACCAGCAAGGAGAGAGTGTGGCTACAGCTGAGTGAACAGGAAACAAGATCAGAGGGTGAAGGAGTGGAGTGGGCAGGGCAGGTAGAATATAGATCATGTAGAGCTTGACTTTTATTAACTGAGATGAGAAGACATTGCTGGCTTCTAAACAGAAGATAAAGGAGTTGGTTTGGCTGCACTGTTGAGAAAGGCTGCAGGAAGCAAGTATGGAAGCTACTTTTAGGGAGGAGGTTGCTATAATAATCCAGACAAGGTGTGATAGTGGCTCAAACCTGAATGGCAGCAGTGAAGGGGGGAAAATCATTCAGACTTTAGAAATATTTTAACCAGATTCAACAAGATTTGCAGGTGGACTGAGAAACAGAGGAGTCAAGAATGACTGTATTTTTTTATTTTTTTAATTCAAGCTTCTAGGATGGAGTTGCTGTTAACCTAGAGAGGAGGAACTATGGAAAGAGCAGGCTCAGGAGCCATGATCAAAAATTCAATTTGGGGGCTGGGCGCAGTAGCTCACACCTGTAATCCTAGCACTCTGGGAGGCCGAGGCAGGTGGATTGCCTAAGCTTGCAGGTTCAAGACCAGCCTGAGTCAGAGCAAGACCTCATCTCTAAAAATAGCCAGGGGTGGGCGGCGTCTGTGGCTCAGTGAGTAGGGCACCAGCCCCATATACCAAGGGTGGCAGGTTCAAACCCGGCCCCGGACAAACTGCAACAAAAAATAGCCAGTGTTGTGGCAGGCGCCTGTAGTCCCAGCTAGTCAGGAGGCTGAGCAAGAGAATCACCTAAGTCCAGGAGTTGGAGGTTGCTATGAGCTGTGATGCCCCGGCACTCTACCCAGGGCAACAGTATAGTGAGACTCTGCCTCAAAAAAAAAAAAAAAATAGCCAGGGGTTGTGGTGGGCGCCTGTAGTCCCAGCTACTTGGGAGGCTGAGGCAAGAGAATCTCTTGAGCACAAGAATTTGAAGTGGCTGTAAGCTAAGACAGCACAGCACTCTACTGAGGGTGACAAAGTGAGACTCTGTCTCAAAAGAAAAAAAATTCAATTTGGACATGACTCTGGAATTCAAGAAAGAGGTCTTGGCTAGACATGTAAATTGGACAGTCTGTGGATATAGATCATCTTTAAAATCTTGACTAATTTAGAACACCAAGGCAGCAGTTGCAGATGAAGAACCTTTAATGGAGTTCTGGAGCACTCAAACATGAAGAATTCAGGGAGAAGGCAAGGATAGGGATTCAAGGAGTGAGCAGTGAGGTGAGTGGAAACATAAGAGAATCAGTTTCCTAGAAGTCACCTGAAGACAGTGCCCAAGAAAGGGGGTGCGATGAATCCTGCCAAGCAGCCACCAATGGGCCAAGTAAGGTGAAGAGTGAACATTGACTGCTTTATTTTTCAATGACAAGGACGTGGATGACCTTGAAGAGAGCAGTTTTAATGGAGTAAGGTGGGAGAGGTGGCTGTCATTAAGAGTGGGGTTAGGAAAAACTGGGAACAGTGCGAACATTCAGCTCTTTACTACAAAGGGGAGCAAAGAATTGGATTAGTAGATGTGAGGGGGAAGTAGCATAAAACAATTTTTGCCTGTTTTAAGATGGAAGGAATTATGTGCTATTTGTATGGTAGTGGAACTGAGCCAGTGAAGAGTGAAGAGCAGAGAAAACAGGTGCCCTTGATGCCTTTGACTAGCAGGCAGGGGAGAGGATCCCGAACACAGGGAATGGGTGAGAATTAGAGGGGAGCCCAGACAGTTGATCTATGGAAAAGGGGAAAAGCGTGTGTGTTGCAGGTGCTAGCAGACCGGTGATGTGGTCGTAACATTCTGTGAAATTTTTTTTTCCTGATACATCAGTATTCTCAATAAATATTCTCAAGGTCATCAGCAAAGCTCGAGGATGGGGGAAGTGATGGGAGTTAAGAAGAGAAAGCATAACAGTTTTCAAGGAGACAGAAGAATTAATGGACTAAAGGTGTATAGTAAGCTCACTAGACAGTGAAAGTTCTGGCGTTGATTTTATGGTGAGCCCAGTGTCCAGGATTTGGGTGCCCCCCCCCTCCACCAGCTACACTCAGGTGCATGGGCACAGATCCCCAAATTGGAAAACTGGATTTAATCAGGGTGACAGATTTGCCACAAGAGCTGAGCAAAGTGAGAGAGGAGCACACACCAGGGGGTGAGTGTAATAATTGTGGGCTTTGAGGACCGGGAGAAAAGCCAGGCAACCACGGGGTGGAGCCAGAGAGGAGGCGTCAAGATCTTGGATTAGCTATCCTGGTGCGGGGAAAGGATTGTGGGGTCAGTGCGCTACAGGGCATGTGCTACAGGGAGGAGGTGCAGTCAGACAGTAGATTCATGAAATGGAAATTATGGATAGGACGCAGTTACTGGTGGTGACACGTTCTGGGGGAGATAGTGGGAGTGACTGCCTGGGTGGAGCAGGACACGGCGCCCCTGGACGCGAGGAGACCAGCAACAGAGGGGCAGGCCGGTTTCCAACATCATCTGTTCTACACAGGTTTTCAGTGACCAAGAACTAAGACAGCACGAGCACTGGAGAGTGACACTGAGCCCGAGCCGGGAGAGTCTAAAAATGAGGAGGAGGAGTTGAGGTGGGGAGAACAGTGGGTGACTGGAGACGGCAGCAGTGAAGAGTGTGAGCGACCTGACCGTACGACATCAGGAACTTAGAGGCAGTTTGGGCCTGGTCTGATAACTGCAGGCGCTGAGGATGCAGATTTCACGTGATCCAGCGCTCACATAAGATCTGGACTTGATGGTAAACTGAAAGCTCCAGCACAGCGGGCCTCCCTGACCGCTCTCCTCTGCCGGGCGGCTCTCCTGGCTCCGCTGTGTATCCCCACCCAGGATACAAAGGAAGATCTGGCAGATACTGGGGGGGGGGCGGGTATCTCTCTTCTGGTGCTCAGCACACTCAGGGGTGCCCTTGGACATGCTGGGCTTGGTACTCGTGTACAGACTGGCGATAAATCTCAGTCATTTCAAAAAGAGATATCAACATTTGTGCCCCAAAAGCGTTGGCTTTACCGATTTTCAGATTTTTCAATTTCAGAATATTATGGGGGTTCACCCATTTGGGGCACATACTTTGCTTTTCTACAGAGTCCGGCTATAGTAGGGTGCCCTTCACTCAGACAGTGTAGTGTGTGTACACCATGGCGATCTAGTACCCCCCGACCTGGATGGAACTGGAGACCACTCTGGTAAGCGAAGGAGGAAGAGAATGGAAACGCGAACACCCCAAGTCCTGGACGCTGATGGGGAACTAACCGACCACCACGCACGCGCACCCGAGGAAGTAAAACTTCGCGCAAAGCCGGCAGGCGAGATGGGGAGGGAGGGGGATGGGTCGCTAACGGCAGGTGCGCTCCACGGGACAGCGCGCCGGCCCCTCCGGTCTCTGGGGCTGAGATTTTTCTCTCCACTTGTGTCAGTGCCTTTTGTAACATGTCCACGGTGGGAAATTAATGCATAAAGATTTCAAAACAATTTTACTAAACTCCGTGTTGAAAGGCAAAGGAAGATCTTGCAAACGGCGTTTTGAGGAAGGAAGACAAGGTCGAGCACGCGTCGACAGAGGAGCGGACAGCTGCCCGGAGGGGCCGCCCCGGGGAGGAAATGAGCGTCACTTCGTTCCGATCCAGTGTGTCGCCACCTGCGCGCACGGCCACCCCTTTCCAAACTCGGCCGCGAGCGACCCAGAACGTCTGCGGGGGTCGTACTCGGTTGCGCGAGCTCCGAGAGTTCATTTCTGTGCTTGAGTTTTCCGGATCTTCGCCCACGTCCCTCGGTGCACCCGTATCTCTTTGCAGACGGGTGCGGTGAGACACGTTTGGAGGGAGCGAGGCGGGCTCCGCGGCCGCGTCCCAAACCCCGAGGCGCGAGGACCGTCTGGGCAGGAAGCCCGAGCGGGGGCGGCCCCGGCCACTCTGCGTCACCGGCGCCGCCCCTTCCCGGCCCCGGCGCTCCGAGGTCCGGGCGGCGGCGACTCCGGGTGTGTGACGGGCCCTCGCGGGCTCCGAGGCCGGGACGCGCTCCGGGCCACCCGCCAGGTCCCCGGGCCGCGTCCCCTACCACAACCGTGGTCTCCGGGCCGCGCCATGGCGGGGAGAGGCGGGGCCCGCGCCAGGCTCACGTCCCACACGCTTCTGTTCGACCTGCCGCCCGCGCTGCTGGGCGAGCTTTGCGGGATCCTGGACGCCAGCTACGGCGTGATGGGCTGGCGCGGCCTGGGTGAGTGCGGGGCGCTGGGGTGAGTGCGGGGCTCCGGGGTGAGTGCAGGGTGAGTGCGGGGCTCCGGGGTGAGTGCGGGG